CTATAATGCAAATTATGTCAGATTATCGAGGTAATTTAAATATGATTATTTTATTATTCTTTTATTTATTATTTTTTTATTTTTAATATGATATTTATTTGAACTTAGAAAAATATGATTATTATACTCAAAAGGAGAAAAAAAAATTGGAAACAAAGCCACATCTAATGAAAAAAATATCACAGTAGTAACTGAATTAGGCAAAATTGATATTATGACTGCTATTCGGCAGGATAGATTAAGTAATAGTGTGCAACAAATAAGAATAAAAGGGCGAATTACACGATGGAAAATAGCATGCAAGAAAGTCTTTGATTTACTAAAATAAATCCACAATCTTTTAAATTTAAAAAAGGAGATTTTTATTATTACTGTGAAAATAATTATTCTTTTGTAATCGCTGAGATTATCACAGTATTTGAGGTAAATTATTTAAATTCATTGATTTTATTATAATTATTATTTTTAATTTATTAATCTTTATATTATTTAAGAAACGTGGATCAAGTTATGTTCGTATAGACTTATTAACAGGCTTAAATGAGGGAAAGATCCATGCGCGTTTATATGATCTTAAGTCAGATTCAGCATGTGAATTTACTCCTATTATAAACCAAAATTGCATACAATTCATATGTGAATCTAGCTCATTTCATTTTGTTGCATATTTGGGTTCTGTATCAGAAGAATATCACGGAGCTTCTCACTGGTTAGGAAAAATGATAAAATTGTGTGATCTTCAATATGCAACATTTTCATTTTGTTGAAAAATCTTGTGAACTTGAGCAATCTATTAAAAAGGCGGAAAAAATTATGCAGACAAAAAAAAATTAATTCTAATGATAATGAATAATTGTAAAAGGATTCATTTTTATTAAATGAATTATAAATTTTATTGTATAATACATTTGATTTATCAATAAACTTTTATCGTACATTGCTTTGATGTTAATTCAATTTTTGTCTGTACACTTTATTAGAATATAAAGATTACATTTAAACTTATGTAGTACATTAAAAAGTAAATTTAAGGTTTGTGTACACTCTTATATTAAAATTTGAATGTACACTTATATGAACACTAAAGACAAAGGTTTATATATACGCCATACTGGCATTCAAGGGTTTTCTCGAAATCTGCTTTGATAACATATGTAGTATTGATCTAACGTCTATAGTTCCTGAACTTTTCAAAGTCATTAATATCTTTTACAGATATAGTAACTCTTTGTAGGCTTTACCCAATTCAAAATATCATTGCTAGTAATAATCTAAGGATTTTATAAATAGAAAACTTTAAAAGCATTGGTTACATAAATATTTCTTATTACTATGAGATGTATCCTTATATACTAATCTATTCAGATTCTTAATTCGGAAGAAGTGATTCTTTTGCTCATACTTATCTTCCTCTGATTTGGTAATATTTATAAGAGCTATAAGATGGATAATATAAGAGCTTTGCAGTAGAAAAGGAGGATACTCTAAAATAAATTTTTTAAAATAATATTAAATCTAAACTTATTTAACTAAAAAAATCATATTTGACTTATAAAATAAAATTTTAATTTTTTTAGAATTTCCTTTCTTTCTACTGCAAAACTCCCATATACTCTACCTGAAAATAAGTTTATACAATTTTGAAAAAATAGGTAAATAAATTTACGCAATTTTGAAAAGTAGTTTATTATCATTTTTTTTAACAAAATATTAGTATTTAGTTAACCAACCATTATTGATAATACATGCTTCTATGATATAAGGCATATTATTAATTAATTTTAAGTAAGTTTCTTGCAAAATTCTTTCATTCTTCTTTTAGTTATACTAGAGCTCTGAACAGGTCAGGTCGGATCAGACATAAAATTGACCTAAATTAAATATACATTTGACCTGACCTGACCTGACCTGTCTAAAAAAGGAAACTAAATAATTATTAATTTTGTTTAAT